GTACAAGCAAAAATAAAAATAAAACCCATCACTGTTCTTATACACAGAGAGACTCGTACCCTCTTGAATATCTTGCACCAAAAACATTAAGGTTTACTTGCATTCCCCATTGAATTTAAGTCCGGAAAAACTCATCTCGATATCTACAAAGATTCAATTTTCAAATCCCTCAGTGATGGGGGACATCAGAGTATCGCTTGTTAAATTTAGAAATGCAATTTCTTCATGAGATAATAAAATACAACTGTTGCTACATAAATTTGGTCAAAGTGTGATCCTATCCCATTTACAGGCAGGGAATGAGAGGAGAGAAGAGAGGATGGGGATGAGGAGGTGTCCAACACAGATGGAACAGCAAACAGGCTGAACAGGTGAAGAAGATGAAGTTAACACAGTTTGTCACAGTTCAAACGCATCATCAGTTAGTTAATAGAGCAACATGAATATGAAAGTATCCGCATCAAAAATCATCAGTATCTCATTTCTTGTTGGTGTTTGCATCACTTGCTTTAAAAACTGATAAGATGAAGCTTGATGAAGCTACACGCAATTCGTCACTGGATTTCTTGTTTGTGTTCAGTGTACAAACAGCTGAAATACCATGTTGACGTCTGACTGAGCGATCATCTCATCTGGTTCAGGCAAATCTGCTTAAATGCCAAGCAGTGACATCTATCATTGTTGTCTTAGTTAAACTATCCAGGCCGCCTTTCTGACACTTTTTGTCAGCTACACATGGAGGACAATATGCAGGAAAACATACTGAAAATACCAGCTGATGAGGACCTGTCAAATCTGAGTCCTGCTGTATTTGAGCTGAGATTATTTTATCTTATTTTTCTCTGCGGCTGCAACATAAACACATCCGCGTGTTGCGTTAAACCTGTTTGAGCTCCAAATGAGCCGCACTTTGAAAAGCTCAATATTTCAAGTAAAATCTGTGAAGTCCAGAAAAACTGAGCGCATGTAATGTTTAACAGGGAAATTTAAATTATCAGCAAAGTCACAGAATAAAACTGTACTGAATCCTTATCAGTGTTTCCCCTACTATTATACAAGAGGGCGTGGCACCCCACTCCATCAACAGAACTGAGCTCCCCGCCTATCGAACTCCCCCAGTCGACAACTGTTGGTATTGATGTAGCGCAGGATGCAATACAAATGTGCTAGCAAAAATGCTACTGCTGTACAGCTCTGCATCCCCCCCAATAAAGACCGGCAGCAATGTAGCGCTAAGCTAGCAAGCGGGCAACACAGACACAACCCCCCCCCCCCCCCCGTCATCGATTAAAAACCAGCAGCAACGTAGCACTAAGCTATCAGACAGTGACTCCATCTCGTCCTCCTCCACCACCACCGCCCCACCCCCCATAGACAAAAATAAAATACGACGAACGCTCCGTTAAGGGAACAAACTAGTTATGTTGGTGCATGCCCCCTCCTCCTGTGCCGGCCCTCTTCCTCATCAACAGTCATGTCAAACTGGTTCAAAACCAACAAAGTCCATGCTCAATAATCCAAGTATACAATCCAAAAACTGCTTATTATCATTAACAACTAGCTTTTATTAAATTAATTAATATCACATGCCTTGCCATGGTTTAACAAAATATCTAGCTCCATCTATTTGTGCTTTCAGTATGTGTTGAGGATGACTCTCAGCTACTACCCCACCAAATTTTAGCCCAATATCTGTAAGACCGACCAAATTATAGCTATTTTATGTTTGCTAACATCAGCTAGCCATGGTGGCTGTTTTACATCTGTGTGACTCCAAAGGTCAATCCACTTCAGGTGTTCATTCAACCTTTATTAAACAGGTTAATCCCACTGAGCCTGGTGGAAATCCAATGGACACTCCCTGTGAGTTTCAATAATATCTGTCTATTGGTTCATAAAATATTTTGCTAACAGACAAATGAGCACGCGCATGCAGGCATAGTTTACACTTACAGAGTACAAGTACACAGAGGATGTCATCTCATTGTGAGTACAGACCTCTAAAAATTAATGTCATCATTATCTAACAGCAGTGTTTAAACTTGTCACGTGTTTTTATTGGCTAAGTGTCGTTGTTTGAGTTCTAATTCCAGTGTAAACTGACTTGCTCTCATCGTGGCGATCACCAGGGAAATTTGATGAAGCCCTTTTGAACACTGACTCAATAAATGGAAGTCTGTATGGCAGGTTATTATAGGGCACTTGATACAACTTGGTAGAAGGTCAATAGCTGGGTTTGAACTGAGGAGCGAGCGGCTGTAATCACTTCACTCCATGTGCTGCTGCAGACCAGGGAACCCAGCTAACGTAGAGCAAACATTAGCCCCCGCGGGTGGAGGAATGTCCCATTTAAGTAGAAGTGGTCTGACGCAAATGACGAAAACATTCCGAGGGCTGCTTTACACCGCTGTTAAACGTAAAGAGGGAGAGAAACGACACGCCGGCATTTCATTTTATTTCTGCGTGAAGACGGAGCAAAGTGGTGTTGAAATACTGATGGGCCCAGAAGTGAGGCACTAAACATGGATTATGTGTCAAACTTAAAGGGATGGTCTGATCATTCTGAAGTGATGCTATTGATGCATACAGATCAGTCACAGAGCATGGAGTATGGAGGAAGAGGCTAAGGTCTTCCTCCAGGCTAGGCTAATGACTAGCCAAGTAAGTGCTAATTTACATGTTTTTTTTTACTTGTTAACAACTGCTTCTCAAAAACAACATATCAATGTGAAAGAACATGTTTTTGCTGGATTTCTGTGTTTAGTTTTGTCCCTGTTTGCTCAACTTGGGCATGAACTGTGTTTGTGCCGATGGTGCAGAGGGTGCAAATATATTAAGCTGTCAAAAGGCAAACAGAAATTAGCTATTTGGCTACTTGTTAAATGTATCAAAACAATAACAAAAAGTTAAAAAAAGGCTATCAAAAATCAATAGGTTGGCTAGAAACTAAAACTAGCAGAACGCTAAAAAAACCCAACAACAACAACAACTAAAGGCTACGTAAAAACTTAAGTAGCTAAAAGCTAAAAGTAACAAAAGTCTAGTTACATACAAAATGATCAAAACATTAAAATTAGCAAACAACTTGCAAAAGAATCAGTAGGTAACAGAAGCTAAAATTATCCAAAGGTTAGATAAAAAAATGTAAATAAAAGTCTATCTTAAAACTAAAAATACCAAAAAGCTAGCTAGAAGCTGGAAGTAACAAAATGTCAGCTAAAAATTAAAAGCAACAAAAAGCTTCCTAAACACTAAAGTAGAAAAAAGTTAGTTATAATCTGAAAATTTCAAAAGGCTAACTAAAAGCTAAAATTAGCACAGCACTAACTAAAACTTAAAATTATCCAAAGATTTACTAAAACTAATACAAAGATTAACTTAAAGTTAAATGGGATTAACCTGTCTAAATAAAGGTTGAATGAAAAATATACCAGAACACTGGCTAAAAGTCACCAAAAACTAGCTAAAAGCTAATATATATATATATATATATATATATATATATATATAT